TGAAAGGCATGGGCACAGGGATAGACCGCAGGCTGGCATGCCCAAATAATCCTGTGGACAACATGGGAGGAGAAAAACAGGGTCAATCCAAAGAGCGTCCTCTGCCACAGAGGCCGTGGCGCGCAAATAACGGTGAAGAGCCACAGACACAAAATATGATGCACCCACGGCCGAACCAACCAAGCACCAACAAGTCAAGGACCCCTTCGGAAAGCAGCAGACTCATTCTTTCCAGAAAAGAAGGAGAAGGCTGCAAACAAATGAAACAACCACCAGGACCGAAAGAGTAGAAACCTGCACCGGAGGAGAGCATGAAGCTTGCCCGACCGGACCCCCAGAGGCCAATGCCAACAAGAAAAAGAGCCTTAGAAAAACAGTCCTGCACCAAGGGGGGCCACTACAAACCAAGGAGACGAGAGAAAAGAGAGCACTCGGTCCAACGACCAGGATGGCTCAGGTGGCGCATGAGCAGGCCGGAGGTGAAATAACGCCCGAGAAAGCTTTCGGAACGGAGCAGAAGTGGCATGCACCCCGAAAGCAAGCTGCAGCAGTTCCGCCAGCGCCTCACAAAACGAGGCGACAGAATTTGGCATAAGATGACGGTCCTGAAACAACTAAGAGAGAAAGGACAAAACAACCTGATCAGAAATCGAAGACAAGCTACGAATTGACAAAAATTGCCGAAAGGACTGCCAGGAAATTTTATTCTGCCGTCTAGACAAAACTCGCAGGTGGGACACCATCAACTAAGCCACCTGATCACCATACAAGTGGTGATAGACCCGCGTCAAAATGACCAGACGCAAAGAGTGGAGAAGATCAAACCAGCCACGTAACAAACCAGACTGATCTGCTGAAAGAGGCGAAGCCGCGGGAAGACCCTAGGGTTTAGACATCAGGCAAGAAGCGCCTGAAACTAAGGCTGGGCCAGCCACCAAGGAGCCAACAGGACTACTCTCCCTTCGTAAGTCTCCAACCGAGCCAGGATCAGGAGCAACAACCAGACCGGAGGGAAGAGGTACAGGTAACTCTGCCTCGACCAGTCCAGCTGAAAGATATCGACCCCGCCAGCCTCGCAGTCTGGGAAGGACGCCACCTAAACTGAAAGATGCTTCGACCACCCCGATGCAAATAGGTCCACCTCTGGGCGCCTGTACGTCCGGCAGAGCCAACTAAACAAGTTGGCGTCGACCGTCCATTCCGTGGAGAGGGGAATGAACTGAGACAGGCTGTCCGCCAAGATGTTTGAAACCCCTTGAACATGAACCGCCAGGAGAGCCAAGCCCTGAGAACTCAGCAGACAAGTCACCTGAAGCGACTAGCCCTAAAGAACCAAGGACCGCATCGAACCCCCGCGATTCAGGCAATGAACCATCAGGGAGCAGTTCGAATGCAGCGGGACCATTGCTCCAAAGAGGAGCGAGTCAAATCCTCTGAAGTGAATGCCACACCGCCGCAAACTCCCGCACCGTGCTGTGAGCTCGATGGAAGGATGGACCTCACTGACCCTGGCTGACCTGGTGAGCACTTGTCACAAAACCCCAGCTGAGAGACGAGGCATCCATTAACACATCGAATGAGGGCTTGGGGAGGCACCACGGCACAGAACCCCGAAAATCCCGCACAAGAAGCCAGCGACGCAGCAGCCGACGAAAAGCTCCCGGGATCCGAACCCATCGATACCGAGAGAGCGGTGGAAGGGACAACCCCAAAGAAACCAGAACATCTGCTGAAGTCAGATCTGACCCGATGAGTAGACCAGCACGGCAAAGCTCAGGCTCCCGCACAGCCGCTCAAACAACCGACGTGTGTCCTGGTTGCCCTTCAAAAACAGTTGGAGGCGGGGCCGCAGTCACAACAGCATCACAGGAGGGAGAGACAAGGAAGCGGTCCGAGAGTCCCATACAAGTCAAGAATCCAGCTAAGTCCGAACATGAGAGGGAACCAAAAGGGATTTCCTCCAGTTCACCATGTGACCCAAAGCCGGCGAGCTGGGAAAGAACCATATCCCTGGTGAGCAGATACTCGGACCGGCTGGGAGCCCACACCAGCTAGTCATCGAGGCAAGCCAGAACCCGAACCCCTAACAGAAGCAAACAGGTCACCACGACCCGTTAAGACGTGTGAACACTTGAGGTGCCAGATTCAAGCAGAATGGAAGGCAACAAAAGCGGTAAGCTTGTTGCCCAGCGACAAAACTGAGCCAGTCACTGAACCCCCCAGTTGAATCAGGACGTGTACAATAAAATTATAAAACCAATACAGTGGCACCTTGAATTACGATTGCCCAGATTTACGATAATTTCGAGTTACAATATAAATTTGATCGAAAAAAGGTACTCAAATTACGATAGTGTCGTCGAATAACGATTTTTGTTGGTACACATTCGGATTGATCGAGTGCATGGTTCCCGGTCACGTGGACCAACCTGCCTCAGTTTACTAGAGCCGTTCCACTTAGTGACGATCACATTTATTAGAAATTCTATTTATGTGGTGATTTTTTTATTTTTGAACATAAAATTGATTATTATATATCACACCATGGATCCCAAGAAATCAGTGGTAAGGTTCAACATATGAAAACACATGTAAGAATGACCCTAGAGGAAAAACAAGACATTAAATGTAAACATGAAAATGGTATTCGTGTTGTTGAACTAGCTAGGCAGTACAACAAATCTTCAGAGGAGGAGGAGGAGGAGGAGACAGTGGCATTAGTGGATGTCCCTTCCTCATTAATTAAGAAAATGTGTGCAGTATGGGAAGAACTGCAAAGTTTTGCTGAAAAGAATCACTAAGATAAAGCTGTAACAGACCATTGCATTGATCTTTTTAATGACAATGTGATGCCTCACTACAGACAAGTGTTGGAAAGAAGGGAAAAATAATCTTCAATGGAACGATTTCTAGTGAGAAAATCAAGCAGTGAACCAGAAGCAGGTCCTAGTGATATGCAGTCAAAACGTACCAGAGTGTGTACCCCAGAGAAGTACTCACTGCCTGATGGTATAAAGGAAGGGGACTCCCCTTCCAAACAGTAACACCTCTCCTTCTCCTCCCCCCCCCTCCTCACCATCTTCCATATGCAATCAAGAGTCCTCCATAAAGGTAAGATAAACATATGTACTGTATTGTAGTTAGAAAAAAAACAGCGTTGAATGTAATGAAATGCCATTTTCTGGGTGAGCCCCGGAGGCTCCCTGGAGCTTATCGGGCTAATGTATGTTATATTAGACTGGGACATTAGCTAAGGAGTTCAGACCTACCAAGGACCAGTGCCTGAACCTGGCCCCTTCAGAGAGGTTTCAGGGAGCAATGGCCCTGGAAAACCCCCTTGTGCTTGGGGTTTTCCTTATCTGCCATTGACCGGGGTTTGCACCCAGAAAGGTAGGCATAACAAAACAAACACCACATGATAAAAAACTAAAACAAAAAAATGAACAGAGAGGTAGAAACTCCCTACAATCCCAAGAAAACAAGCAAAAGAGCAAACATCACACTTTACTGCCGCACCAATCGTCCGCGCAGCCCTCCCCGCCCCGAGAGGGGGAGATGGGAGCCCCGGACCTACCGTGTCGGCTGCCTAGCATCAGTTCGGAAGCTAAGCTTCAACCAATGCGAAAAAAACGTCGACCAGTGGGAGGGAGGGTTGCCAGGGAGCCTCCGGGGCTCACCCAAAAAATGGCGTTTCATTACATTCAATGCTGGTTTGCTGTGGGAAGCCCCTACGGCTCCCTGGAGCTTCATACCCAAAGAGAAGGAAAAGAAAGGGCTGACCCAGGAGGCAGCCACCACAAACTCTGTAACGCGAAGCCGAGACAACAGGCAGCAACCTGCGACCCAAGGCAACAAGAACGCACAGGAGCAGACGCGCATAAAGAATGGGCAACCAAGAACCCGTGCGACCCTCAAATCCCTGCACCCAAAATGAGCCCTAGACATCACCAACACAGCAGCAAAAGCTGCAAACGTCCGAACAGCACAGGCGCAAGGACAGACCGCAGGCTGGAAGACTTAAAAACTCTGCGGACGACCTGGAAGACCCAAGCCCTGAAACAGGGAACGAGGGGAACCGGATCAACCCAAAGCGCATCCCCAGACACTACGCAGGAATGGCAAAAAAGCGCAACCGGACAATACAGGACACACCCCCGGCTGAACCAATCAAGCATCAATAACCCAAGAACCCCTCCAGATAGCAGCCGTCCCAACAATCGCCAGAAGGATGGAGAAAGGCTGCAACCGTACAACACAGGACGCATCCCCGGCCAAACCAATCAAGCATAAAAAAAACAAAAAACCATCCGGAAAGCAGCCGTCTTGACAGTCGCCAGAAGGACGGAGAAAGGCTGCAAACGTACAAACCTACCACCAGTAACAAAAGGAGCATAAACCTGAACCGAAGGGGCTACCACAAACTGTATAGAAGATAAGAAGGCACCCTGATCAAGGACCAGGATGGCTCAGGTGATGCATGAGGAGGCCGGAGGTGAAACAAAACACAAGAAAGCGTACGAAACGGGGCAGATGTAACGTCCACCCTGAACGCAAGCCTGAGCGGCTCTGCCAGCGCTGCACAAAATGAGGCGACAGTAAGAAACATCAAAACTGTAGTCCTGAAAACCCAAGAAAGGACAAGACAACCCGATGCGAAAGAGAAGAAAACCTACGAGGAGCAAGAAAAAGTGCATAGAAACACCAGGAACGTCATACTGTCGCCGAGACAAAGCTGGGGTTTTCCAAGGCCATTGCTCCCTGAAATCTCTTTGAAGGGGCCAGGTTCTGGCGCTGGTCCCTGGTAGGTCTGAACTCCATAGCTAATGTCCCAGTCTAATATAACATACATTAGCCCGATAAGCTCCTGGGAGCTGTAGTGGCTCCCCACAGAAAGAAAATATCAATGTTCACTACCTTTCATTAATTTGTACTACATTACCATGATCATGGAAAGAGTTCAGAGGATCCGAGTACGGCATTAGTAATTTAAGAAGTCTTACCCTATGTGTGGGAATATCATCATCACGCATTTCATCCAGATTGCCTGAGATGGCGCGCTTCAGCTCAGGTCCTGCTTCATGCAATGTTCTCAAACCTATGGGTGGAATGTTTAATAAATATATAATTTCTTTATCTTTATCTACTTTGCACTCTTCTTCTATATACAATATTTATTAAGATGTTAACATTCAGACATTCTAATACAAATGTTATTTTGATTTTCTAAGGGGTAGCCCCACCAGTGCCTTTCCATAATTTATGCACACACACACCAGAGCCAATACTGTCTCAAGGTATTTCAAACTTTCTCACTGGACTAATGGAGACATCAATATCCTGTCCCCTCAATGAGGTAAGAGAGCTGTGGGGAAGGGGGGGGGGGGATATGACCACCATACACTGAGGAAAACCCAAAAATCCAGCAATGAATGTAATGTAACGCCTTTTCCTGGGCACTCCTGTGGCTCTCTGAAGATCTCTCGCATAGACTGCTACATGCAAATGGGTCATCAGATATAAAATCAATGAAGCTTTACAAATATCAGGTGGGTTAACAAAAGCAAAGGCTTGAAACTGCCAAACTACTATAATAGAATACAACAATACAATGTTTGTGTACAAAGGACATGGGAGTAATGTACAAGTTGTAGAGACAGAAGTTACACAATCTATGAAGCCACTATCACACAAAGTGTTTCAGGCAAAAACATTACAAAAAAATAAAAAAAACTTTTCTGGGGGGAACCCCGTCAGCTCCCTGGAGCAATCCTAGGCTGATATGCTAATGTCAGACTTTGGCATCAGTCATGTGTATGGAGTTCTTAGGCCTACCAGGGACCACGGCCAGAACCGGGCCCCCTCAGAGAGGCAAGGGGAGCAATGGCCTATAGAAGCCCCCGTGTCATTGGAAGCATTCTATGTCTGCCATCGACCGGAACAGGCACCCAGAAAGGTAAGCGCCTCAAAACAAACCCTTATTCTGGTTAAAATTGCTACCAAAAGCCAAACTAGTGGATAGAACTCCTCAACAGAAAACAAGCAAACTAGTGTGACGTCACACGCCGCCGCGCCGCTGGTAGGCCTAAGAACTCCATACACATGACTGAAGCCAAAGTCTGACATTAGCATATCAGCCTGGGATAGCTCCGGGGAGCCTCCGGGACTCACCCAGAAAATGGCGTTTCATTACATTCAACGCTGGTTTTTTTTTTTACAAAGGTGAGATTGGGGTAATACACTTAACCACTGCACTGCTTTGCATTAAAATATGACAAACCCATGGTGCGCAGAAAATAAATTCTTTCCAAAAAATTATTTTATCTTCTTATATTGTTAAAATGCAGTCTCGGATCATGGGAAACTAAAAAAAAATATTGTATGTTATATACTTTAGTGATGATGGAGCTGGGAGGTTGAGCAAATTATGGGCGCTGAGCGATAGAGCGCTCAATGTCACGAGGCCCTGCCACCCCGTTTGGCGGCAGTTGCTGCAAATATTATGTTTCACAATTATTTTGATGTTTCTCATTCGTTTCTTCACTTCTTTTGTTGTAAAATTATTCAAAAGTGTAATTTGTGGAATTTTTATAGTTCAATGTATGGAATATTGCTGTGCTCAAAATTATAGGGCTCATATGTGACATGTATATTATACTCTACTATCACTCAAACAGTGTTTTTGCTGTTATTACACTATATGTACATATTGTATGTACCTATCTACAAATGTGTTCACCATAACAAACCACTAAGTTGGTATAGTGAGCCCAAAACAACAAGAATGGCCGTGATGCTGGCTGACTCCCTCCCACCTTCAACACCCACTGACCAACATTTTGCCTCCCACCATACTGTTATTGTTTTTATTACACTCTTTACACATATATATACGTATCTACATGTTTTAATCACCATACTTGTACAACTAAGCTGGTATGTCGAGTTCAGGCAATAAGAGAGGTCGCCTCACACACAGCTACTATTATCCTGCTATTATCAGAATCATGGTCACTAAATCACATAAATGAATAATCTTCCACATGCTTATTTTGTAAAGGAACATGAGAAGTGGTTTGAAGAATTTTAGATGGACAAAATAATGGCAGTGTGCTGTGGCTAGTGCTGTGAACATCTTGAACAGCATTTATTCACTGATATCTGAATATTGTACACATTCTTTATCACAGTCAGGCTCTTCTGTAATACTGTACTATCAAGGCTAAATAATACCAAACATATATATTTGAACATTTTTATGCGATGCTGTGGTCACAATCTGAACAGCAATGCTGTTAGCTCATGCTGGGTGTGCCAGCCTTGGTTACTCACTCAGTACTGAGGCCTTCACACCCGGGAATGTTGCACCACGATTTTTTTTAAATGACGTCTGTTTAGGAGAGCCCTGAGGAAGCTGATGTGAACCCTGTGTAGCCGCGTGAGTTATGAATAATACGCCATACCAATGAGATCCCTGAGGCGCATTGCGCACGCACCACAACGAAAGCCTCAAGGTGTGTTGCGTAGTGCAGTGGTTACTACTAAAGAAGAAATAAGCTAACAAAGTGAGAATGTTCATGGAAAATAACAAAGGAATTCTAAAAATATGACACTTGGATGACAGGCAAGACTATTATAATATGGAGTCAGTAGTTGTAGCAATAATACAGTAGTTTATTTACATTAATTTCAGAATGGAAATACAGGGAACAAAAGAATGGAAACTGCAAATGAATCACATAGAACAAGAGAAACATTAAAAATTAGCATAAAACTCGTAGTACCTAATGCCACCACCAGGAGCCTTCTGTGTGCAGCCATATACAGTGATCGATTCTCGAACTGATGACAGCCCACGGATAAACTAAGTAACCTGATATGGAGGGAGCATTTCAGGGAGTTATAAGGGCTCATCCAGAAAGAGGCATTTCACTACATTCAATGTTAAGTTATTGGGAGAGTGGCTCCATGATCATAACTAGCCACAGAGAACTAAAATGAGACTCTTCAGGTAGGAGGAGAGATGGCATGCACTAGGATGAAGAAGAGAATCCAGGATGAGAGACATGGCCCAAATCAACACACAACTGACTGGGCCCAGGAACATTAACCAAATAATGGGCCCCCAGAACCCTGTTAGAACACTGAAACTCTCAAGCTCGAATATCAGCTCAGAACATGTTGGAGAAGACTGCAGCCAATGTACTAAACTGGCACACATCTTGGGCCTGAGGCTAGACTACAAGCTGGCTAGATTTGATGACAATGAGGACAACCTGCAAAATACAAGCCTTGGAAGAGAAAACCAAGGAAATGGTATCAACTAACAAGATGTCCACTGAGACAGAACCAGTGATCTGCAGGTAGAGGCAAAGAGATGCCACCAAACACAAGCAATGCACCCCTGGCCAGAATAACAAAGCATCAATCATCAATGTACCCCCTCTAATAGCTTACTGACACACTGTTTACTATTTCGCAAAAGATGACAATCAGGAAAAACAAAACCAAAACGAAATGGACAGAACAGCCCTGAATGAAACTAAAGAAATGTGGTTTGCAGTGTCATCAAATCTAGCCAGCTCATAGTCTACCCTAGGGCCCAAGATGTTTACGAATATGCTGCAGTCTTCTCCAACATGTCCTGGCCTGATATTTGGGCTCTAGAGTTTTGGCAGGGTTCTGGAAGCTCGGTATTTGGTTAATGTTCTGGTCACAGTCAATCGTGTGTTACCTTGGTCCATGTCTCCCAGCCTAAATTCTCTTCTTCGTCCTAATGCATGCTGCTGCTCTTCCTTCCTGGTAAGTCCCATTTTTGTTTTCTGTGGTTAGCTAACAACAGAGAGCCCCACCATGGGGGGGGGGGCTCCCTCAGAAACCCAGCCTCGAAAATAATGAAATGCCTCTTTCTGGATGATCTCCAGTGGCTCCCTAACTCCCTCTCTCCCTACAGGTTAGCCAGTTCATAGCTACATAAATTATCACATTAGATGGTTGCGTGAAGAAGTCAGACTGCCTGGTGGTGGTATTTGGTGCTATGAGTTTCGTGTAAATTTTTTTATGTTTAACTTGTTTTGTGTGAATTGTTTGTGGAGTTCTTTGTTGATTCCTGGGCTTTGGTATTTTTTGACCCTCTAGTTGTCTGTAAAGCTTCACTGACTTTCTGGATGCTTCCTGGTGTGGTGGTGAATTGTCACTTGCTCACTGCCCCTGTGTGAAGGGAGTTCTGGTTTCCGGTAGACCAAACAGAACTCCTTTATATTTTGTGTCCTATTTGCATGGAACAATCCCAGCAAGATAGCTTCAAAGAGTCACTGGGCCTCATCCAGAAAGATTGTTCGATTTCCTTGAATACTGGATTGTTTGTTAACCCTTAAACTGCGCAACATGTCATAGGGCGTGTTGAGTAACTGACGCAAAAGTGCGCATCACGTCACATGACGTTTTGGAGTACTATGCAAGATTTAGTTAAACGGCTTGTAGATACACAGGGTTCACATCACCTTTCTCAGGACTCTGGTAAACAAACTCCATTTTGTTTTTAAATCGTGGGGAACATTCCCGGGTGTGAGGTCCTCAGTATTGAGTGAGCCACCAAGGCTTGTGCATGCAGCATGAGCTTACAGCACTGCTGTTCAGCCTGTGACCACAGCATCGCCTAAAAATGTAAAAAACCAGCGTTGAATGTAATGAAATGCCATTTTCTGGGTGAGACCCAGAGGCTCCCAGAAGCTATTCAGGCTGATATTGCTAATGTTAGACTTTGGCATCAGTCATGTGTATAGAGTTCTTTGGGCCTACCGGGTACCACAAGAAAGAACTTGGCCCCCCTCAGAGAGGCGTGAGGAGCAATGGCCTATAGAAACCCCTGTATGGTTGGAAGCATTCTATGTCTGCCATCGACCGGGTCAGGCACCCAAAAAGATAGGCGCCCCAAAACAAAGGCAATAAGAGGCAAAGGCAAAGGCAATTTATTCTGGTGAAAATTGCTACAAAAAGCCAAACTAGTGGAGAGAACTCCCCCAACAGAAATGAGCAAATGAGCATAACGTCACACATCACTGCACTGCTGTCTGCACAGCTCCCCCTTCTCCCTCCCAGGGAGGGGGAAGGGGGGAGCCCCAGTTCCTTGTGCCAGCAATCCACACCCCAGTTCTGAGGCTGGATATCAAAACACGCGAAAAACCGCCAACCGGAGGGAAGAAGGGTTACCAGGGAGCCTCACGGTCTCACCCAGCAAATGGTGTTTCATTACATTCAACACTGGTTCTCATGAGGGAGCCCCTTCGGTTCCCTGGAGCTACCTACCAAAAGATGAAAACCAGAGGGACTTACTCGGGAGGCGGTCGCTGCTCATTCCTCAACGCGAAGACGAGACAACTGGTTGCAACCGCTGACCCAAAGTGACACAGGCCCCGACTAGGCCCAGGAATGTGTACCAAGTAATGCACAGCCAGGATCCTGTTCCACCTCCAAAAACCCCACCCCTGAATGTCAACCCAAGACATATTAGCAAAAACAGCTGTAAGGGCAGCAAACTTACGAACGTCATGGGCACGGGGATAGATGGCAATCTGGCTAGACCGAATAACCCTGCGGATGACCTGGGAGACCCGAACTCTGGAACAGGGAAGAAGGGAAACCAGATCAACCTAAAGCATGTCCCCGGCCACAGAGTCTGTCGAGCACAAATAACGGCAAAAAGCCACAATCGAACACAACACATAATGTACCCCCGGCCTAACGAACCAAGTATCTACAACCCAAGGACCCCTCCGGAAAGCAATAGTCTCATTCTTCGCCAGAAAGAAGGAGACAGCTGCATATGAACAAACCAGGACCTAACGAGCAGAAACCCCTGCACCGGAGGAGAGCATGAAGCTCCCCAACCGACCCCCCAGAGGCCAATGCAAGCAAGAAGAGCCATAGAGAAACAGTCCTGAACCGAAGGGGCCACTACAAACCGAGGAGAAGAGGGATAAGAGAGCACCCTGTCCAGCGACCAGGATGGCTCAAGCGGCGCATGAGCAGGCCGGAGGTGAAACAATGCACGAGACAGCTTGTGAAACTGCGCAGAAGTAACATCAATACTGAAAGCCAGCTGCAGCGGCTCCGCCAGCGCAGCACGATAGTAAGCGACAGTATTCGACATGAGACGACGGTCCTGGAACAACCAAGAAAGAAAGGACAAGACTACCTTAACTGACAACGAAGTATACCTACAAAGCAAAAGAAAGAACTGAAAGAACTGCCAAGAGACCTTATACTGCTGTCAAGACGAAGCCTGAAGTTGGGACACCATCAATAAAGCCACCTGATCATCATAGAGATGATGATAGACTCGAGTCAAAAGTACCATACGCGAAAACTCGAAAAGAAGATTGAACCAGCCACGTGACGTACCAGACTGATCTGCTGAATGAGGCGGAGCCACGGGAAAACCTCTGGGTTCGAACACCAAGCAAGCAATGCCTGAAACCAAGGCTGGGCCAGCCAACATGGGGCCAAAAGGACTACTCTCCTCTGGTAAGTCTCCAAGCGAGTCAGGATTTTAAGCCACAGCGGAACCGGAGGAAAGAGGTACAGGAACCCCAACCTCAACCAGTCCTGCCAAAAGGCATCAACCTCAGTGGCCTCACAGTTGGGGCAGGGCGTCACATATACAGGAAGGCACCTCAACCATGCCGACGTGAAGAGGTCCACCTCCGGGTGCCCGAATGTCTGCTAGAGCCAGATGAACGAGTCGGTGTCGACCGTTCATTCTGTAGACAGGGGAACGAACCAAGACAGGCCATCTGCCAGGACGTTGGACGCCCCCCAAATATGAACTGCCAGGAGAGCCAAACCCGAGAATTCATCAGACGAGTCACCCAAAGCGACCAGCGCCAACAAGCCAAGGACCTCATGAAACCCCCTCGGTTCATGCAATTAACCACTGGGGAGCAGTCCGAATGGAGCCGGATCATCGATCCATGAGCAACCCAAACCCTCCGGAGAGAAAACCACACCACCATGAACTCCCGCACCATGCTGTGGGCTCGATGGAAGGACAGACCCTACCGCCCCTGGCCGGCCTAGTGAGCACTGGTTGCAAAGCCCCAGCCGAGAGACGATGCGTCCATGAACACATCAAGCGAGGGCTCGGGTAGGCGCCATGGCATTGAACCCCCCCAAAAAACGAAGAGGAAGCCGGCGATGCAGCAGCCGACACAAGGCTCCCAGGGGTAGAACCTAGCGATCTCGAGAGAGGCGGAAGAGATGTCCCCGAAGGAACCAGAACAGCCGACAAAGGCAAACCCGACCCGGCGGGTAGACCATCATTGCAAAGTTCAGGCTCCTGCACAGAACCCTCGAGCAACCGCCACATGACCCGGGAGCCACCCCCAAAGAAGCACGTAGAGAACCACAGCTGAAGGAGGGACTCCTGCACTCTATCAGTTCATCTTGGAGTGGGTGCGCATGGGTGTGGTCAAAATGACGACGTCTCTCAGGTGGGTTTCCCTCTTGTTTCCCTCTCCCTCCGGAGACCCCCCCCCCCCCAGAGGGAGAGACAAAGAAGCAATTCGTGAGTTTCAGCCAAGTCTGAACCTGGGAGGGGACCAGATGGGATCTTTCTCCAGTTCACTGGGAACCCAAACTTGGCAAGCTGGGAAAGAACCAAATCCCTGGCGAGCAGACACGCGGACCAATTGGGAGCCCAGACCAGCCAGTCGTCAAGACAGACCAGCACTCGAACACCTAAAAGACGCAGACGGGCTACCATGACCCGGGTGAGGTGTGTGAACATATGAGGTGCCAGGTTTAACCCGAATGGGAGACAACGAAAGTGGTAACCAAGACGCCCCACAACAAACTCGAGCCAGTCCCTGAACCCTGGATGAATCGGGATGTGCCAATATGCATCCTTGAGATCCAGGGACATCATCCAAGAGCCTGTCTCCAACAGAAGCCAGACCTGGGACAGAGTGCTCATCTGAAAGGAGGAGCAAGAAACCCAGGGGTTCAGACGGGACAATTCCAGAATGATTCGCAGGTCCGCACTGTCCCGTTTCAGTACTGGAAACAGGAGGGAAACCCACCTAAGAGACATCGTCGTTTTGACCACACCCAAACGCATCCACTCCAAGTTCAACTGACAGAGTGCAGGAGAAGAGGCCTGCCCTATCAGCCCCGAACCCTCCCCCCCTCAAGGAGGAGAGGCCACCAAATGCCACTGCAGGCCATTGGAAATGACCCAAAAAGCCCATAAATTGTGAGACCAGGTGCAAACAAACAGAGCAAGTCTTTCCCCTCATCGTCCCGTCAATGGGGAGAACCACAAAAGAACCAACATCCCTTACGAGAACCAGACCTGCGCACAGAGTGATCACCGCACCTACCAGACACAGACAGAATCGAAGGCAGAGTCGGCTCCAAACCTGGCACCTGCAGCGGAACCCTGAGCCCTGGCATGACCCTTACGGGAGGAACCCCCCGGGACCCCCAGTACCATCGGATAATCAACAAGTTGGACATCGAACGACAGCTGGAAAAAGCCACCTGCAAAAATCGCTCAACGGCAGTGTTTGCAAACATCAAGGGACAAAAGGGCAAAGAAAACCTAAGAGCCAGGACCCAAGCAGATTCCAAGGAGGGGGCGAGCACAACCTGCCAACACGCGAGACGCGCAGTGAAAAGAGGGGTAAAAGCCCCAAGGGTTCAGGTAGGACAAGTCCAGAATGAACTGCAGGTCCGCACAGTCCCATTTCGGAACTAGAAACAGGTGGAAAACCCACCTGAGAGATGCCATCATTTTGACCATACCCAAGCGAACCCACGCCAGGATGACCCGACAGAGAGCAGGAGAAGAGACCTGCCCCTCCAGCCCCAAACCCCCCGAAAAAGAAGGAGCAATCCAACACCACTGCAGGCTGGAGGAAACGACCCAAAATACCAATGAATCGTGGGATCCAGCAAGAGGAAACAGCACGAAAATCAAGCATTGGTCAGAAGGTTGGAGCCAGAGTCGATCGACCATCACCAACACAACAGCCTCTTGAATGGTGGTTGGCTAGCCAGTGCGGGAGGTCTAGGAACCCCATCCACCCCCACTTTCCCCTACTGGGGAAGGGGGAGTTGCGCAGACAGCGGTGTGGCAGCTGTGGCGACGTCATACTTGTTCGATTGTTTTAAATTGGGGAGTTTTGCTTGCTAGTTCGGCTTTCGGTTTGCAATTTTTGCAATTTAAAAATTTGCAATTTTTAACCAGCTGTAGTTTGTTTTATTATTCCTACCTTTCTGGGCTTCTGACCTGGTAGATGACAGACATAGACTGCTTCCAATTACATGGGGGTTGCCATGGTCTAATATATGCACATTAGCCCGGTATAGCTCCAAGAAGCCGAAGGGGCTCTCCACAGAAAAGCCAACCAAACCTTTAGAATAATCAAGCGTACCCTTGACTTCATGGAAAAGAAGGTAGTGATTCAATTGCACAAATATATGATGCACCCACATTTGGATTACTGTATCCTAGGATGGAGACCATATCTTCAGAAAGATATAGCTGCTCTGGAGATGGTGTAACACCATGTAATAAAAATCATTCCCGAGCTAAGTCAACTCATGTATCAGGAATGGTTGAGGGCCACAGGGTTAACAACACTGCAAACCAGGCATTACAGGGTGGATCTCATTGAAACTTTTAAAATACTGTACTTAAGAATTCGGAGGATGTGGATCCAGAATTTTTTTTTTCAAAAGGACAGATGTAACACAAACATGGAGCAATGGTTTCTAGCTCAAAAAGCTATAATGTACTACTGAGAACAGGAGATACTTTTTCACCCACATGGTTAAACCCATGGAACTGCCTACCTTCCGAAGCCGTAAATACCAAAACTCTGTTAACTTTTAAAGTACAACTAAAAAAGATCATCAAGGTAAATGGGAGGACCTTCACAAGCCGCTGGCTTCCTGTCCTCGTTGAGGCCACATTAGTGGCTCTCTGGTAAATTCAGGTAAATACTTAAAAAACTCACCAGCCTGCAGAGTGACTGTATTGGCAGAGTCCTTATCAATTTGTTCTTTAATTTCTTGCTTCTTCTTTTTAAATCTTCTGAAGTAATCTTGAATTAGAAAAGTTGCATAAAACTTGCCCACAGTGACATCATCTTCAACTGTAAAGAGAATACATAAAAAGAGAATATTCATAATAATGAATATATATAAATGACAATTAAATTGAAAGCAAGTGAAGAGTCTTTGTATTGACCTGAGAATTATTAATTATTCTAAATTATACAAAATGAAAAGCACAAAAGTTTGCTGTTTTCATATTTTTAAGATAAATGTTAAACATAAAATTTTTTATATTTTAAGTATTAAGTCAAGGGCAAAGTATCTGATTTACCAGAAGGTTGGAGAGTACTGTATTGTTTCCTATAAACATTTATTTCCAATTCTTCTTCCTTTCACTTCTCTACACTGACAAAGTGCTGCAGCAGAGGGCTCAGCACTATCAAACAGCCTCCTTATGCAATCTAGTATAGACCTAGAACTAAACCTCTCAACAAGTATCTATGACAATCATCACTTTAATGATCAAAATTGCAAGTATTATACAGCAAACAATGTAAACAATGTATTAACACATAATCACAATGTATCTGTAATTAGCTTGAATGTAAGATCTCTATGCAAACACTTTGATGATGTTAGTGTTCAAATTAAAACCGTTGACAACAAATTCCCCTTTATTATATTGTAATTACTGAAACGTGGTTGAAAGAGGGTGCAACACAACTCTTTAACATACCAAACTACTCGGCATTTCAGAACTGTAGGCCAATCCAGAGAGGTGGTGGTATTGCTCTTTACTACCACCAAAAGCTGACATGCTTAACCCTCAAACCGCTAGGGGTCCAAATGGCTTTAACCCTCAAACCGCTAGGGGCTCAAATGGAATTCACACCCACAGGCGCAACAAAAAAAAAAAAATTAAAAAAATTCTTTCGTCTTATAGAAGTGTTCATTTTTGTTCCCTGATCACTGAAAAAATAACAAAAAAATCGTAGGTGGTATATTTTAGCCGTAATAGGGTAGGGAAGTGTGGCAAAAAAGGGGCGTTGGCAGAGCCTTCGCCAGATGAGGTCTACTCCGCCTGAGCTGTCAGACGGCAGTTGCCACAAATATATTATTACCTAATTATTTCAATGTCTCTGATTGATTTTTTCTTAGTTTTTTGCAGTAATATTATTCCATACAGTGAATTGTGGTATATTTATATAATAAAATGTGTTAACCATCGCTGTACTCAAAATTATGGTGTGCATATTAGTGATTCAATTATTATGTTCATAAAACAATAAACAAATAGTTTTGCTGTTGTTACACTATATAAACAGGTTATATATAAGTATCTGCATGTTTTGTTCACCATAACGAACTACTAAGTTGGTCTTGTGAGTCAAAAAGCAACGAGGAGTGACCGCCACACACCAGAGAGCCACTCACTGCCACTCCCTCCCTCAACACCACCTCACTCGCCCTCATTCTCCTCCCACAATACTGCTTTTGCATTTATTCACTATACACAGACGTTATATATACGTATTTACATGTTTTGTTCACCATAACTGTACATCTAAGCTTGTATGGTGAGTAAAGGCACAAAGACATAGCTACTCATACAGTCAGCTGATCGGTGGCCGCCCTCAAGGCCAAAAGCACTAATATTTCTCCTCCAACAATATTGTTTGTGGTGTTATTACACTACATACACACATTATATATCAGTATCTACCAGTTTTATTCACCATACCTGTACAAATAAGCTGGTATGGTGCCCAAAGACCATAGTGGGCACCAGTAAACAACATGCCAAGTCGTGCAGACGACGCTCCTCCCTCACCAAAATGGCGGCTCCCAACCTACTCCTCTTGCTGTTATCTCACGCTATACACACGTTATATATAAGTATCTACATTTGTGTTCACCATAGTGAACCACTAAGCTGGTATGGTGAGTGCAGTCAATAAATGGTGGCAACACACAGTCAGAAGACAACGCCACAACCCTCCCTCCACAGCCTTACTCCTCCCTCCATGGAGCACAGCGCTAAATATCACCACAATCCTGCTATTATTAGAATCCTGGTCAGTTTTATCACAGTCAGGGGGCTTCAGTAAAACTATCACTGCTAAATAATAGTAGTATCATATATATTATGGCATCTGTAGGCGATGCTGTGGTCACAAGCTGAACAGTGGTGCTGTGAGCTCGTGCTGTGTGCGCCAGCCTTGGTGGCTTGCTCAATACTGGCTCTAACACCCAAGAATGTTGGCCTGGATTATTTTTCTAGGTGGCATCTGGCAACTATCGGTCGTGGCTGTACTATAGCTGCCCCTATCCCAGGTGGAGCGTTTAAATTATAGCGCTGTGCTAGATGCGAAATCATATATATATGATGTGCGCGGTTTCGGTTTTGTCACTGATATCATATATATACGATTTGCGCGGTTTAAGGGTTAACACCCACAGGCACAACAAAAAAAAATCCCAAAATTTTTTTCGTCTTATAAAAGAGTTCATTTTTGTTCCCTGATCATGGAAAAAATAATAAAAAATCGTAGGTGGCACAGTTTAGCTGCAATGGGGTAGGGAAGTCTGGCAAAAAAACCAGCGTTGAATGTAATGAAACTCCATTTTCTGGGTGAGCCATGGAGGCTCCCTGGAGCTTATCGGGCTAATGTATGTTATATTAGACTGGGACATTAGCTAAGGAGTTTAGACCTACCAGGGACCAGTGCCAGAACCTGGCCCTTCAGAGAGGTTTCAGGGAGCAATGGCCCCTGGAAAACCCTCTTATGGTTGGGATTTTCCTTATCTGCCATCAGCCATGGTCAGGCACCCAGAAAGGTAGGCATGACAAAACAATCCCCACATGGTAAAAAACTAAAAAAACTGAACAGAGAGGTAGAAACTCCCTACAATCCCAAGGAAACAAGCAAACAAGCAAACATCACACGTTACTGCCTCGCCGATGTAAAAATCTGCCAAAATCTGGAGGATGTATATACTCGTTTCAGTTTTCTCACCTTATTTCTCGTGCTACATCGTTTGTTTTGGTATCATTGTGTTTGCAATAGAATTCTTTATAGTGGTATATGCATATAAGGTCTAAAAGCCCGGAGTGAGTCCCCACAGCAGAGCCTAAAGTTGGCCAAGTTAATCGTGAATGAGCACCAACTGGCACACCTGCAGACTAATGTATATACTCGTTCAGTTTGATAACATAAATTTTCATGCTACATCCTTCAGTTTGGCATCAAATTGTTTGCAATAAAAAGGCGCGTATTTTAAAACTAGTCCCATAATAATATAACAATAAATAGAATTTTAATGAATATTTTAATATTTTGGACACTCTTTGATGCTCATCACCACAAAATTATGTACAGTATATCTTTCCAGTGTTCTGACATCAATTTTCATGTTACATCTTTCATTTTGGTATCAAATTGTGTGCAATCTAAAGGTGCATATTTTAAAACTAGTCCCATAATAATAGAACAATAAATGGAATTTTAAAAAATATTTTAACTTTTGGACACTTTTTGATGCTCATCACTACAAAATGATTTATATCTTTCCAATATTCTGACATCAATTTTCATATTACGTCTTTCATTATTATATCAAATTGTGCGCAGTCTAAAGGCACTCATTTTGAAACTACTCCCAGATAGATCAGATAAAATTTAAATTTTTAACAAATATTTTAATGAGTAATGACGGACCTCGTTACCCGAGATGAATCAGGAGAAAAATGAGTGACGACGTTTGATGTCGCCGAAATGCGAAAGTGTTAACTTGTTCCAACCACCTACCACTCTGTCTGCGAAAGTGAATTTTCTTCTATTTCTTTTACATCTTTGTTTAATTAAATTAAATCTATGACCTCTTGTTCTTGAAGTTCCAGGTCTCAAGAAATCTTCCCTGTCGATTTTATCAATTCCTGTTACTATTTTGTACGTATTGATCATATCACCTCTTTTTCTTCTGTCTTCTAGTTTTGGCATATTTAATGCCTCTAACCTCTCTTCGTAGCTCTTGCCCTTCAGTTCTGGGAGCCACTTAGTAGCATGTCTTTGCACCTTTTCCAGTTTGTTGATGTGATTCTTAAGATATGGGCACCACACAACCGCTGCATGGCACAGCTGTCTGTCCTACAATCCCTATAGAATTGATTTTTCATAAACTCTAAACGTTTGGAGTTATAAATTTTTGTTGTCTAACTTTGCACATATTTCAAGTGCCATATTGACAAATTTTTTTACAGTAAACTATACTGAAAACCTATATTCTAAATATATGAAAATAAAGTTCATATGCTATTCTGAGAGCATAATAACACCACATGTACAGTTGGTGATACTTTATATTTCTGCAGCTGATTTCAAAATTTGAAGTTTTCAATATTAAATTTTAAAATTATTTTTTATTTTCTTTTTTTTTCAAGTTACACTGGTATCACTTACACAAAGTTGAAGCATTTGCCAAATAGATTATGCACAAAACATTTGAAAGAATTTCAGAAAATTAAAAAAACTGAGGTTAATGTCACACATCATATGACGTTTTGTGCAGTTTAAGGGTTAAACTCGCACTGTATCTTGTGCAACCAAATCACCCAATATATATACCTAAGCCATACAACTTCACCATTCTAATACTTGCTATCATCTAACATCATGGTTGTTATATTGAAGGCATATTTTATTGCATTATACCTTGAAATAAACCTCAAATTATGCTACTATGTACCTGTTGATAACTCTCAAATTTTACTTTAATGTACCTACTAATCTTTGTCAGATTTTCTTACAATGTATCTGTTAAATTTTTTTCAATTTTGCTCGAAATTACCTACTTAACATTATCTGTTTGATTAAGAACCTGCCCAAAAAACTGTGTGTTAGTGGCTTTACAAGAATGTAAAAACATCAACACTATGTTCTCTTCTTGTGTGTGTGTGTGTGTGTGTGTGTATATATATATATATATATATATATATATATATATATATATATATATATATATATATATAGTTAGGAGCTAACAAAATCTGAGTCATACCTCCAACTGGTGGAACAACTTGATCTAGAAGTTTAGGATTTGTACGCTTCCAAATCTTCTTAATGACTGCCCTCAACTCTTCATTGGCATCATCAATGTTGCCCTCAGTTTTTATTCTCAAGGATGTTCTAACTAAGGCAAAAAGTGTTGCATTGAACATCACTGTTCCATCAGTATTTAGAGGCATATTCATAGCCACTAAACGCTGAAAAATAAAATGTTGAAATAATAGTTATTCTAATATATAGAAGATAAAAATTTACTCTCAATGCAAATAATTTTGTGATTTTTTCTAAATAAAGTATGTAGTCAGATAAAAATAATAATAAGAATTGAAGTAACAACTTACCTTACAAGCTACGCGATATGGGCACAATTTTCCAAATCCCAGTGGAGGAGATATTTTTCGGAGAAGAGTAACCACATCTAAATGTTTAATTCTGCCCTTAGCATCAGGGTCATATTCTGACCACAGTGTGATGAACTCATCCAGGTGATGTGGACCAAGGATAGACCAGTCCCGTGTTAAGTAGTCAAAGTTGTCCATGATAACAGCAACAAACAAGTTGATAATCTGTTAAATAATGTGTATCAATCATAATAAAAGCAAAATCTAACACTTTTAAATATTTCTTTATATTTTAAATTGTAATTCTGTAATAATCATATTTAGTGTTTATTAACCATTGTGATGCAGTGAGTTTATTGTGACATTTCCCCTGTGCGTGAAATCAAATGTTCTGCCCCAATTTTTTTTTTAGTAAAATGATATATGCCCTTCCCTGAACATGTCTATGTAAAAATAAATACCAAATTCTACTTACTTTGGCTGTGGGGACATGGACAAGGTACGCTGTGATGTCATCACGGGCCATTTAAGCACCGCAAGTTGCCACAAATATATTTTCATTATTTGTTCTATGTATTTCCAATGCGGTTTTATTTGTTCTTTTATCGTATATTATGCATATTTGTGTCCTTTACAATATGTATACAGTAGAACATTCATAATGTTCCATGGAATTGTGATACATATGTCAGTAATGTGTCAACAATAAATGTTTATTGTCGCGATATTACTTGTTAAAAATTCACTAAAATTACATTATGGAAAGTTTCACACACAATTTACACAGTAACCCACTGTATTACACACTCAGTACTGTGGAAGTGAGTAATAATCAACAAAGTAATCCAGTCGGCCAAGTGGACAGCACGCTGGACTTGTAATCCTGTGGTCCTGGGTTCGATCCCAGGCGCCGGCGAGAAACAATGGGCAGAGTTTCTTTCACCCTAAGCCCCTGTTACCTAGCAGTAAAATAGGTACCTGGGTGTTAGTCAGCTGTCACGGGCTGCTTCCTGGGGGTGGAGGCCTGGTTGAGGACCGGGCCGTGGGGACACTAAAAAGCTCCGAAATCATCTCAAGATAACCTCAAGATATGGTACACAACGTGACTTCGCTTTTGTTGCACCAGGAATAAATAGATTTTCGCTTCCTGTTTCTTCACTCTGTGTGCTTGCAAATAACGTACTCAGTCTACCGTAAGCGCGTTTTGAATGTGTACAAAAAGATAAAAAATACTTTTGCCAGTTGGCGCAGTAATAGGCGAATGGGGAATTGTCGTTTGGCGCAGTGCAGTGGTTAAAGTATGTTATATCTTGGATAAAAAAACCCAGCATTGAATGTAATGAAACGCCATTTTCTGGGTGAGCCCCGGAGGCTCCCTGGAGCTTATCGAGCTAATGTATGATATATTAGACTGGGACATTAGCTAAGGAGTTCAGACCTACCAGGGACCAGTGCCAGAACCTGGCCCCTTCAGAGAGGTTTCAGGGAGCAATGGCCCTGGAAAACCCCCTTGTGACTGGAGTTTTCCTTATCTGCCATCGACCAGGCTTAGCACCCAGAAAGGTAGGCATAACAAAACAAACCCCACATGGTAAAAAACTAAAACAAAAAAAATGAACAGAGAAGTAGAAACTCCCTACAATCCCTAGAAAACAAGCAAACATCACACTTTACTGCCACGCCGATTGTCTGCGCAGCCCTCCCCACCACGAGAGTGGGAGGGGGAGCCCCAGACCTACTGCGCTGGCTGCCTAGCATCAGTTTGGAAGCTAAACTTCAACCAACGAGAAAAAACCGTCGACCGGTGGGAGGGAGGGTTGACAGGGAGCCTCCGGGGCTCACCCAGAAAATGGCGTTTCATTACATTCAACACTGGATTTCTGTGGGGAGCCCCTACGGTTTCCTGGAGCTTCATACCCAAAGAGAAGGAGAAGAAAGGGCTGACTCAGGAGGCGGCCGCCACAAACTCCGCAACGCAAAGCCGAGACAACAGGCTGCAACCTGCGACCCAAGGCAACAAGACCGTACAGGAGCAGATGCGCATAAAGAATGGGCGACCAAGAACCTGTGCGACCCTCAATTCCCTGCGCCCGAAATGAGCCCTAGACGTCACCAACACAACAGCAAAAGCTGCAAACGTCTGAACAGCACGGGCGCAAGGACAGATCACAGGTTGGATGACTTAACACTTTTGCGCACCCGGCACGCCACCCCTCAACTATGCGTAGTGGGTTCCAGCGTTTCACGGGAGCGCGCGTTAATTCTGAAAAGTGTATACTCTCTTCAACTTTGTCACCTAAATTCTCGTCCTACGAGATTAAATTTGGTATCATTGTGTTTGCAATAGAATTCTCTACAGCACTAAATGCATATAAACTCCAAAAGCCCAGCTAATTACCCGCAGCAAACAGAAAAAGTGCAAACGAGTTACCCAGAAGCGCGCAAAAGCGATAAAATGTGTTCACTCTTTTCACTCTAGTCACCTCAATTTTTGTCCTAGGTCTTTCATTTTGGTATGAATGGGTTTGCAATAGAATTCTCTAGAGGAATATTAGCATATAAAATAAAAAACCTGGTCACGCTCTAACCGCCAATGAGTTGAAGACGGGACACGCGTTAGCCGCGAGTGAGTGCCCAGACGCCTTCCAGCTACACTCCCAATTCCTGCCCACAAATGTTTAGTATTATTACTTGTTGCTAATCTCAATTTTCATGTTACAGTGCTCATTTAGGTATGAAATTGTTCCTAATAGAATGCTTTAAATGGATATGTGCACATAAGGGTCAATTGAAGAACAATATTGCCAGTACAATACGCAAAAGTATGAACAAAAAAAAAATATACAAAATAATACAACTTTTTGTACTTACCACCTCAGGGTTGTGTGTTGAACATGACATGGGTTGAACATTTGTTTATCCACTCCACCTGCTCCTGGAAAATGTTTCCTGCAGGGTCAACCCATGTTTTGTATAGGTGGAGTGGATGGTGGGCAAGCATTACTGCTTATCGGCCCAGAATTTTCTCTTTCGATGGTATCTGCTGTAGCATGGTGCAGGACACAATGCCACATCACACGTCTTGCACTTATAGTGTGTGTCCTTCCTTTTACCCGACATTTTGCACACATGACACCTCAGACGCTTCTGTATCTTTACTTGGGTATGGGACAAGTTTCTGTTGAGGCGTTCTGGATTATCCACAATACGGGGTCTTGTTGTAGCAGAAGCACCACTAGGGATAATCACAGCATCGTCTTCTGACTCAGACGATGAAGGTAAGTCTGCAGGTTTAGGTGAAGTGAATAGTGGGCACCTCACACCTGAAGGTCCTGCTGTTGAAGGTCTGGGTGTTGATGGTCCTGGTGGTGCAACATTGGCTCCAGTGGCATTGACATCAGCAGCATGTGGGATGTCATCATCTTCCTCAGGCCAGTTACTAGACTTATAGAACAATAGTGCAGTAATGACTTGTTCATGGAAATGGAGTAATGTCAGTTTCCTTCTATCTGTTATGTAGTAGTTGTACATCACAAAAGCATTGTAGATAGCCATTTGCACAAAATAGAAGGTCATTTTCTTCGTCCATTTGTGAGTTTTCCTTGTGAAGTGATAATATTTGATCATTTGGTCAAAGTGATCAATACCTTTCATGTTTGTATTGTAGTCACAGATTGCATTCGGCTTGTTGACAGTTACCTGCTGCACTGAGGTTGTTCCATCACGATTCCATACTCGTTTTCTGCGTTGAACCTCTTGTGTTTCTGCATTGTGACAATTTGTTATGAGTGAAACAATTCGTTTATCTTTCCACAAAATTATGAAAGTATTGTCCTTGCGTTTGAATAAAGTTTTATCTACTGCCACTTTACCCTTTGCTTGCATCTGAAGGGATTTAGGTGCATCACGCTGCATTCTGAGGGTACCACAGGTGTATACCCCTACTTGAAGCAGTGCTTCACTCAGTCTGACCAAATTGTAATAATTGTCCATATATAAATGGTAACCTTTGTTCTTCAGGGGTTCAATCAAGCCCATAACTGTGTCAGTCATCGTTTTCCCAACTCCAGAATAAATTTCAAAATCATAAATGTAGCCACTGTTGGCTTCAGCTAGAATGTAGAGCTTTATTCTATATTTATCTGGTTTATTGGGATTATAGGTCTTGAAAGATAGACGGCCACGCCATGGCGTTGTCCCTTCATACAAACTCAAATTTATATTGGGAATGTATATTGTCTTGAATCTATTTAGGAGATATTGCATGAGTTAACGAACTTTGATAAGTTTGTCAACTCCTTGGCCTTGTGGTATGGACTTATTGTTATAAACATGAAAATATCTAGCAATCATTTCAAATCATTTACCAGTCATAAAGGTGTTGAAACAAGGTATGTGCCAGAATCTGCCTGTTTGCCAATACATTCTAAGTCTTGGCAACGGGCAAATACCCATCAAGATCGTCAGTCCCAAATATCTGGCAATTTCTTTCAGTGTCACTGGTTCCCATCTGTGCTTTGTCGTTTGCCCAGTACGTGCCTTACTTTGGAAAGCATACAAATTAGTTTCATAGGCAATATATTTCAACAATTTTTGAGTCAGAAAGAGTTGAATAAAACCAAGAACAGTGGTAGGTACAGGAACAGTCAAGCCTGGTGTACCTGTAAAATTGTCCACAAAGGGTGCAGTATTGTCACTACACCACCCTTCATCAGAATCTGTTGGTACTGGGGTACGTGTGGTACGTCTGGCTCTGGCACGAGCTCCAGTACCACGCCGTGCACGAGTGGCAGTCTCAACCTCAGACTCCTCACTTTCATCACTACCCAAATCCTCATCGGCCGTCTCTGTTTCTAAATGTTCACTACTTGCATCAGTATCAGTACCAACATCAGTTTCCTCACTAGATGACCCAGACAAATCGTCAAATACAGCCTGAAACTTAGAGGGAGTTAGTCTCACATGCTTGTACTTCTCCTGCACACTACTTAGCTTCTTCTTTTCACGCCTTTCTTTCGCAATTTTCTTCCTGGAAGGGCCTTGTTCATGATCACTATCCATCGTGGAGTAAGCATAAATAGTTTCTAAAGCTGCAGTAAGAAATATAGCCACAGAAAATAGCCGAAATGTTCACATGTTTGAGACACGAGGGGAGGCGACACCGGTCACAACAGTGGAGCGAAAACAATGGGCCTATGGCGTGTGCTGCTCTGCCTGCGGGTCAC